TAGCCAGCCCCGCCCCCTGGTGGGCTGAGCTGGCCACACACACACACACACACACACACACACACACACATACAAATAAATAAATAAAATTTAAAAAAAAAAAAAGAGTGGACATTTAACAAACAGCTTTGGAGAAATGGGTCACTGCAGTTGGTTGATTTTTCTTTTTTTTTTTTTTTTTGTGGAACTGGGGATTGAATTCAGGCCCTTGCGCTTGCCAGGCAAGCGCTTATTCTCCTGAGCCATCTCCCTGGCCCCCAGTTGGATGGCTTTATTATTGTTTTTTTTAAAAATCATTTTGCAGTTCTGGGGACTGAACTCATCACCCCCAGCCATTTTTATTTTTAATTTTGAGACAGCATCTTGCCCAGGGTGAGCTAGCCTTGGGACTCTCCTGCCTCAGCCTCTCAGGCTCCTGGGATTGGTGGCATGCACCCCTGTACTGGCTAGGCTCCATTTTTATGGGGATTCTTATTTTCTATTATACTTCCCAGTTTCATGTCCAAATTATTCTGTGCTGGCAGTGCCCTCTCTGTTCTGTGAACTTCTAAGCAATGCATTTATATCAGATTTATTCAGATATCGGCTTAAATTTTTAAAAAAATTCATTTCTAAAAATTTCAAACAAAGGAAGTGCACATTTCTATGGGCATGATTTCTGGCCCTTTTCAAAGAAAAAAGTCTGTCTTTCCCTCCCCCTAGTGCTGGGAATCGACCCCAGGGCCTCACACTGCCCAGGCAAACACTCTACCACTGAGCTACACTTCCAGCCCTTTCCACTTTTTTATTTTGAGACAGGCTTTTGCCAAGTTACTCCAACTGGTCTTGAACTTGCAATCCTGCTGCCTCAGCCTCCCCAGGAGCTGGGATCACAGGCGTGCGTGTTAGACTGCACCTGGGTGGGAAATCAGCCTTGAGAGTTGGTTACTTCCCCAGGTGGTCGCTCGCTTTCATTTCACACACACAAACCCAACAATCGGTGGTTTAGGGGTGTGGGAGGCTGAGGAAGTGATCCTCAGGGTCGGAGCCGGTAGGGACGTGAGGCCACAGATTTCTGGGTTTCCATGGTAACTATATGGTTCAAAACATAGGCGACAGGAGGTCAGGGCCGGGTGTTTTAGCTAATGGTGCAAGTGCTGACCTCTCACCTGAAAAAATGCCCCTTGTGCCCTAGCATGACATTCTGCTGGCAACCTCTTCCACTTGGAAAGACGCCTCATAACACAATCGCACCCCGTGAGATTCTCAGAAATGCAGGTCATGCTGCCTCCCTCCCTTGGGTTCCAGTTCTCACCAGGGCACCAGAGGCACAGAGAATCTGCAAAAGGTCCCAGGGGCTGACCCGGAAGCAATAATCACTGTAAACTACTGGAAAATTCACGAAGATGCAGCATATCTAAATTTCCTGTGGGTCACCCTCAAAGTCCCTTTACCTATCAGGAAATGCTTATTGTTAGGCATTGTAAGAGGGGACAAAGATTCTGGTCTTCTTAGAAGTCAGCTGGAGGAGAGGAGAAGTTGGAAGACAGCTCTAGTACTGTTTGGGGTGGGGTGGTAACCGCGCTTGTGGGCTCCCTGCCACCTGAGGAATCTCCATGGAGTGCAGGGACCTGGGAGGACTGGTCTCTTCCTGGCTGAGGACTAGTGACCATGACCTCCTACGCCTCTCTCTGGGGAAGGCCAGGCCCCCCTGAGCGCTTGCTCCAGGGACCTACTTTTAGAGCAAGTGGTAGCTGAGCACAGCAGCGGCGTGGTACTCAGGAAGGGGGCGTCTTGGCTGCTTTGTCACCGCTGGGACAAAATGCTGGGCACCCATACCTTAAAGGAGCACCTTGTGGAGCCCTGGTCAGCAGACTGCTGGGCAGGAAAGGTTTGGTGGAGGAGAGCTGCTCCCATCACGGTGGCCAGCAAGCAGAAGAGAAGGGCTGATAAAGGGAGAGGGGTCCTTCCAGGTCACACCCCAGTGACTAGTGCCAGCCAGGCCCCACCTCCAGCAGCGCATCCAGCCCTGCCTCTGCCACGTCCAAGAGCCCTAGGTCCTTGAGCAGGGGTGGTGGGCAGAAGGCTGGTGGTGGGTGAAATCAGCCCCTACCTGGGGAGAGTGACCCTAATTCCTCATGCACTTGAGAGGGAAGTGCCACCTGAAAGCTGGGGACGCATCTGCCCACAGATATGTTTTATTTGAGATTCATGAGAGTTTCAAAAGTTTTGAGACTTTACATTTGACAGTTGGATGATGACATAAAGATCTGGGTCTGTTTTCTTAATAGTTAGGTGATCCCAGCAGAACCCAAACCTATTCCTATGTGACAAAGAATCAGCTGACTGGAGCTGAGTAGTGGCAGTCCCCAACACTCATTTGTGACTCTGTCTCATTTCTTATGTGAATGTGAAATAAACATGCGCTTACAACCCTTGGTGTAGCTAAAAATACTTAGCGAACACCGTTAGTGTAGAGGACTCTGACGCAGCAGACTAGGGCTGAAGGTCTGCAGATGGTATTGCACCTGTCCGAGAAGGGCTGTTTGCACCCAGCGGTGAGGATGCTTTCTGGTGCGGAGCCCTGGCTTCTTCATTCTGGAGCTGGCTTCTGTTGCACTGGGTCACCCATGGCTGGCCCACCTTCCCTCTCCGCCACCGTTTCCACCTACACCATTCCGTGTGGACACTAGTGGCACTCTCCCTTTGAGGCTGAGGAGTAACGGATGCGGGGTTTGCATTTAGGACAAAGTTCACAAAGAACATGAGCCATTTCATAGGTAGGTATTCATCTATTTTATTTTCTATTAAAAAAAACAAAACACAAAAACCAAGACCCTTCTTCCAACAAGGCCGGTTTACAGATACAAATGGTAGGTGCATATTGAAAAAATAATTATCTCTCAATCTTTTCACTAGTAAAAGTTGAGGTATTATTTTTAAAAAACTCTCCCTTACTGGTATGCAGCATTTCCTAAAAAAATTGCCTCTTGTAATCTTCAATCAAATTAAAGTTGCATGATATCACGTGGCTGCACTAGGTCCATTCAGCTTCTTCCTAGGAATGCTAGCATCCTCCCGTGGACACTCACAGCTTGACAGTGTTGTTGCTGATGGCATTATAAATGTCCTCGGTCATAGGCACGTATGTCTTTGCTGTGTCGTCCAAGAAATACAAGGCATCTTGGATGGCGGTGGGATTAAAGCCCTCCTCCATGAGGGTCATTTTTTGGTGTTTGAACGTCCCAGTGATCTCAATAGTGTCCTGAAAAAGAGCAGCTGCAAGGTGGGCATGTTTGGCAACAGACGTGGAGGACCTATTTGCCTACAAGCTCCATTGTCCTGGTCTGTTAATCCGAAGACTCTGTCCTGTTTCACTGAGATACCTGAAGAAATCTCATTTTCTGATTTTGTTTTTGAGGCAAGGTCGGCCTTGAACTCACTTTGCAGCCCTGGCTGGTCTCGAAATTGCAAGAATCCTCCTGGCTCAGCCTCCTGAGTGCTGGAATTACAGGCGTGCACCACCTTGCCTGGCCTGACACCTCATTTTCACGTCTCTTTAGCATCTGGCTGCTAAATGCTAGTGCTTTATGAATATCAATAGAAAGACCCTTATACACTCAGCTGTACCAAGAATCCCAAGACTCCTTCTCTCAAACCTTCAGTTATAATATCACAGAGCCTCTGAATCCAACAGTCAGAACGTTAAACTAACAAAAAGGTTCAAGTTTGAGAAGGAAAAAACAAAAATCCCTTCAGCAGTAAAGCAGTTCCAACTGGTTAACGATGCCCAATTAAAATCCACCCTACAGAAGGGTAGTTTTTGTAGTCTTTCAAACTGAAAGGACAACTAGGACAGTTAGAGTATTCCTATTTGAAGCGTCACACCCATCAAACAGTTTTGTCTTATTTGCTAAGATTGAATAAGCTAGCTCGGCATGTTAGGGAGAAAGGGATTAGGGTCGGATTTCTGCTTGCTGTATTTTCTGATATTTTTATTTCCTTATTGAAGCAGAACACTTCTTTCTGAGCTTCCTGAAAAGGTAGTGAAAGCTTGGAGAAGTCATGAAGAGAGAAAGGGAACCGTCTGCCTGGGGACCTCGATCTCTGAGAGAGAAGCAAACTGACACCAATAAGGCATCCAGTTGTTGTAGGCGGCTGAATTAGACAGAAATACTGCAGGCAGTCAGACAGGGCCAGGCCCTCAAGGGACAGCACGGATGACAGGACACCTTGCAACTGTGAGGGAGACCGATGCTCCTGCTGTGGGCCAGACCTAGAGACCAAAGGAGCCAGACCTAGGAGCAAACGCGACCTCCCTGAGCATAGGCGTCCGGGCTTGATCAGCACCTTGAGGAAGCCAGGGAGAGTCACCAAGCCAACCGCTACCAGCTGGCTACCAGATAAACTGTTGTTCTATATTC